CAAAGCTTTGAGACACCCGTTTACTTCCAGAGGCCAAAAGGGGAGATTATCTGGGGGGTCCTGGCACAGCCCTGTCTCTTTCTAGAACATGGAAGTCCAGAGGTGTTGGCTGAGCACTGGCCAGGGCCTTCCCCGAGCTGAGCAATGAAGGTGTTCTCCCACAGGGAGAGACAGAACCGGGAACATGTACCAACTACCCGTGGCTTCCAGGTACATGTCTGATGCTCCAAGAGTGCTCTCACGGGTGATCCAGGTTAGGATGTAAATTTGAGTGATTTTAAACTCATGGGCTTTCAAGACAGATAGATCTGGGTTCGAGTCCCGCCCTGTCACTTGCTAGCTAGTGACTCTAGACAAGTTCCTTACCTGAGCTGCTTCAAGTCCAAAATGTAGGGTGTCCCAAAATTCACACAAGATTTGAATTTTGCGTGAGCATTAACAGCAACAACAACAAAAGCCTAATTTTACTTGGTTTATTGAATCATAGTCTAATATCTGTTGCCCTTTGATTTCAATCCCTTCAATTTGATAAGCATTCCCAAGTACCAATGATGGCCCAGGAGCAGGGACAATGAAGACCAATGAAGACCATGGCTTTGCGTAAGTGCCAGCAAAGCCATGGAGACCATTTACCCAATGTGCCAGCAAAGCCATGGAGGCCATTTACCCAGTGTGCTATTCCATATGTAACCCTATACTGTATACTTTATGAATCAATAAAAAATTTACAATTTTTATTTATAAACCTGTGTTTTCTATCAAAATTACTCCTTGCATGAATTTTGGGACACCCTAGAGGTGTAATGCTAGTATCTCATAGGACTTCTGGGGAAATCAACTGAAATCATGTACTCAAACTCCTTAAAACAGAGCCTAGTCCCTAGCAGGAACTCTAAGTAGCCCCTACAGCCAGTTGCTTCTACTATCACATGTCTTGGGTGTCCCCCTGCCTGAAACACACACATGTCTTCTAGAACATCCAGAGCAGTCAAGGCTGTATTGGGTAGAGAAGCAGAAGGGGCCCACCCCAGTTCCTACCCTGAGCCCCAGTGCAAATCTCCCTCCGCAGGGCTCAGCTCCAAGGAGTCCAGCTGGGTGCATCTGGCTGGGGAGATTAAATTATTTTTGAATTCCTAACTGAATGTTCTTTTAATGGAAACTTAATGACAGGCATTGAAATAGATTTCCTCCCTAACCCCTCCTCCGGGCGCCCCCCTCCCCAAGGCCCTGTGTGGCCCAGTTCCTGATAACCTTTATTCCCTACCCCTGGACTTTTATCTCCCCAGCGACAAACAGCCCTTGCCGGACAGAAAGAGGAAATTCCAGTCATTGTTCTCAAACTTCTGGCTTCCAAAATAAAATGCTCTATCTCCCCTGTCAAGCTTTGATTGACACACACTTCCTGGAATGGCAGACAGCAACGGCCCAGGGGCGGGGCCAGGGGGTCATTTGCATGCTTTGCTTCAGAGCTTTTCAGAACATTTATTCCAAATGGGGGAAGATTCCCCCTGCTGGCCACCGAATCTCCTTGTTTGGGACCCAGCTCCTGTGTCATGAAAAACCTCTAAGGGAGGAAGGCAACCCTCACCTGCCCACACCATCTTCCTGGGCCTGTTACACACCCACCAGCCATGGAAACAGCCAGGGATCATCTCACTTCTTAGAGTTAGCAACTGAGAGAGGATCTTTTCCTCTCCCTTTCTCTCTGGAGAAATCAATGGTTAGACCGTCTCCCAAATCTTAACTCTGACTATTGGAGCTAGAGCCAACCTAAGTCCAGGAAGATAAACCAGGATCCCACTCCCCAAGTCTAAATCCCCATAGCAACAGAGATGAATCAGGCAAGTTCAGCAGAATCAGTACCAAGGAAAATTTTGAATAAGGCAATGCATTATGGGATGCAGTTTTATTGTTTTAATGAATAAGAAATGCTGAATTCCTTGTGAGATGGATAGATCAGTGCATGTGGTCATTGGCTCACCTGTAGCTAGAGTGAAATTCATGTAGTCAGGTCCTGCTGGGAACAATGGTACCACATTGGACTAAAAAGCCTGGCGTTAGCATCGCCAAGTTGGCCTTCTGGAACCTTCTGTTCCCCATGTATTTTCTTTACTCACTGAGCTCCTGGGTAACTCTCTCCCTCTGAATGTCCAGGGTTTTTATGCTGCGTTGGGGTTCCAGCCACCTCTTAGTACTATCGGCAGTACCGGGGTGGGAAGGGGGCACTTCCCAAGGGGTTTCTTCAATGTCTGTTAATGGTTGCTAGAGGGTCAATGGGAATTTACATTAAAAAGGAGATCCCACGTGGCAAAATGCCTTCATTCTGATAAAGGAGTATATGGAAGCAGATGAGCTTCCATCAACTAGCCCAGAAATAAATGCCAATCACAGAGCTTCCAGCTGTCAAGCAGCATCCCTAGCCATCAAAAGAAACGGATTGTTTGGGTCATCTTACTCCCAGCATATCACACAGAAGGAATGTGTTCTGGTGTGAAGTAATAGTCCATACATTTCTCTACAGTTTACAAAGGGGCTAGCATCCTAAAGCCTCATACGGGCCAGCAGAGAACTCCAGCTCCCTCAAGCTCGACATTCCTGATCTCCTTTCGTTTTATCAGTAGAGTAAACCGCTATGCCAACACACAGGCACAGAGCAATCTCCCGTGTGAGCCAGCCGCGTCACTGTTATGGCCACCAACTCACTGTGCAGCCCTGAACGTAGCAGACTGCCCACTGGTCTTGGTCAGAAGGATCAGGTTGGGTGGCTGGATCTGTACAAATGCAACCCCAGGCCCGGGCAGACAAAGCCGTCCCTACTGACAAGTGCTAGCAGCTGCCACTCTATGTGCCAAGATGCACTGGAGAGGTGTCCTGGGGGGCACAGGGAGCACATGCGGGCAGCCGAGCTCATTTCCTCCTGCTTGCCAGCCCCCCAGCCCTCCCACTGCTCCCTGAAGAAAGTCCACTCTCATCAAGAGGGTTTCCATCAGCTGGTCCGTCACACTGATGCACAATGACTGACACTTTTAGAAAGAACGTGTAGTACCAGAGATTTAATATATTAATCATCACACTCAAAACAGTTGATTCCTAAGCAGCTTTGAGTACCATCCTTCCGAAAATACATTCAACATCACATAGGTGGGGAACTAAGACATTCACAGTAAAACCTTCCCCTAACGGTCAATCCTGCCCGGCTGGCATGGCTCAGTGGTTGAGTATTGACCTATGAACCAGAAGGTCATGGTTCAATTCCTGGTCAGAGCATATGCCTGGCTTGTCGGCTTGACCCCAGTAGGGGGCATGCAGGAGGCAGCCGATCAATGATTTTCTCTCATCATTGATGTTTCTATCTATCTCTCTCTCTCTCTTCCTCTCTGAAATCAGTAAAAATATATTTTAAAAATTTTAAAGATTAATCCTTACATTAAGTTGATCCCTTTCAGGAAGATGCGGTATTGGCCCTTAGAGAAAGGAAGACCTGGTGCTTTCCTCACTGAGGGGCCACACCTCATTCCCTTTCGCACTCTTTCTCCTTTAGAAGCAGCATGTCAATACCAGCCCTAGGCAGAAAAACACAAATACAGTTTTTCTCAGAAGTTAGAGGTACCTTCCCTTCTAAACTGACTTCCCCTTTAAACTCCTCATTGCCTTCTTGGGAGATCAAGAGAAACTCTTTTAACACATTCATAGCCCTTTATCCCACGAATACACATGGAAAGAAATATCACCAAGCATTCTTTCTTGCAGCAAAGTGTTCATGGAGATTCTGGAGCGACAATCTAGCTTCTGTCTAAATATACCACATGAGGTCGTTTGGGCCAAAGCCCAGCTTGGGCAGCAGCGCGTGGATCCACCGTAAAGCAGGTTGGGGTCGGTGCTCCTCTCCCTGTTGGGGACGGAGAGACACAGAGTCCACGGACTGAGCCGTCCCTTGTTCCTCCAGACACAGTGTGGCCCAAGCTGAGATGGGAACTCTAATGACCAGGGCTCGGGAGGGTCAGAGCCCCACAGCTGTTCTTTGTGGAACGGTCTTTTCTTATTGTCTTTGATTGGTTCAGTTCCCCCAACTCAGGAGGCAATCTTTCCTCTGATAAAAGTCCATGTTAAAATAAAAGTGACTTGCAGATGACATTATAGTGTAGAGAGAGAACCCTAAAGAGTCCACCAAGAAACTAGCCAGTCAGAGAAAGACAAGTGCCATAGGATTTCACGTATATGTGGAATTTAATGGAAAAAATAAACTAACAAACAAAATAGAAATAGACTCAGATACAGAGAACAAACTGACAGCTATCAGAGAGGAGGGGCATTGGGGTAAAAAAAATGAAGGAATTAAGCACACACACACACACAAAACAAAAACACAAAAAACTCATAGACACAGATAACAACAGTATGATGATTACCAGAGGGAAATGGGTATAGAGGGAGGTAGAGGAGGGTAAAGGGGAGAAAAATGGTGATGGAAGGAGACCTGACTTGGGGGTGGTGAACACACAATACAATATACAGGTGATTTAGTATAGAACTGTGCACCTGAAACCTATATAATTTTATGAACTAATGTTACCCCCAAAATTCAATAAAATTTTTTAAAAAATAAATAAAGTGACTTATTGCTTATCAGTAGAATGAAGACAAGAATATGTTTTTCCCCTGATCCTATATAAAGCTCATAACTTCTTCAAGGAAACTTTTAAAAAGACCACATTTGATCTCATGAGACTTTTGATAATTTTTGTCTGTTTCTATTAACATTGCATGATTTTAAATAATCATATTCAAGTGAGCTCCCATGACTTCTATATTCCAGCTTCCTACAAATACAATGCATGTTCTACTGCACTAGCCTTGTAGAGTCTTGTAGAATCACAGTTATAGAGTTCAGGGGCATTGTGCTGGTGGACTTGGAAGGCTTTTGTCTGTTTCATACTCTCAAATGGTTGATTGCTTCATCATGGTCACTATGTGTGTTCGAAACTTGGCTTTACTTGTGTTGAAAAGCCACTGCTACATTTTAGTGTCATCTGCCTCGTTGACTTCTGACAAAGTGAAGTTGGGGTTGTCATAGCCTCTCTTCATCTTGGCTCTCGCATCTCTCTCATTATAAAGGCACATGGCACAGTGAGGGGTATCCACTTCCACCGTCTTGCTAAAGTTGTGGAAATCCACGCGGTATTTCCCTTCCTTGGTCTTGGACACGATGGGAGCAAAACGGTAGCCCCAGAGCACCTCTTCTGGGACATAGGATGTCCGCACTTGGCAGGTCGCGCTGGTCGACTCCACGGTGCCATCTAAAAACACCACCAACTCGAAGTCCTGCTGGAGAAGCGTCTCTGCCGCCATGTCGAAGAAGGGACTGTTGTGATCAATGATGTGGTAAATGGTCAGTGGGGAGATGAAGAATAAATTTTCATTCCCGGCATCCACTATGAAGTTGATATTGGTCTGATCCAAAATAATGGTCTCTCCCTCAGGAGTGACTGTGGTCTTGAGAAGCTTCCCGTAGATGTGACTGCCAATGAGAAGGCTCTTCCGGAGGTTGGCCACGCGGATGAGGAGGCACAGCTTCCCGCCCCGCTTACTGATCACGGCATTCTTGCTGAAGGTAATGGTCTTCGCCCGCTTTTTGGGCCTGGAGATCTTGGCTAAGATGGCGCCACACATGAAGGAATTGATGATGACGCCAAGGATAGACTGGAAGATGAGCAGGAAGATGGCGGTGCCACACTGTTCCGTCACACACCTGAATCCATAGCCGATAGTCACCTGCGTTTCCAGAGAAAACAGGAAAGCTGAGGTCAGACCATTAATGTTGTCCACGCAAGGGGTGTGGTTGTCTGGTGGATGGAACTCGGGGAGATCTTTGTGAATGTAGGCTACCGCGTACCACAGGAGGCCAAAGAGGAACCAGCTCCCCAAGAAGGCTGTGATGAAGATGGTCATCTTGTATCGCCATTTGAGGTCAAGCACCGTCGTCCAGATGTCCACGAAGAATATAAACCTCGTCTGCGCCTCCACGTTGCCAAACTCTATGTTGCACCTTCCATCTTTGGAAACCAACCTTGTTCTTCGCCGAGGATGCCCCAAAAAGCGAGTGACAAACCATTTCCGAAGATGTTTGAACATTCTTTCTGTCAACACCTTGATCTGAGAACACATCAAAGAAAAACAAAACAAAAAATAAAAAATTGTATTTAGAACAGCAATGACGTAGGTGACGCACATAAAGAGCTACCTGTTTATGAAAAGACATTCCGAACAATCTGGATTGCTGACCATTTGGCAAGCTGACAGGTTTATTCTGGATGCCACAATGCTATTTTCAATAGAAAATTTCCAACAGAAGGCCATATTGCTTAAATATAAAGAGGAAAACTGATCCGATGAGATAGAATTGGAAGGAATCTAAGAGGGTTCCTGACCTCAATCGCACACAACCTTGAAAATGTTTGTCATCACCATCATGACCTGTACTATGATATTTTTATATTAGTCTTTAAATGAGCTCTCCTTTAAAAATATGAAGTTAAGTTGGGGGGATGAGAAGAGATAAACCAAAGAAATGATTTACTTATATGCATAGTCCATGGACATGGTATGCAATAGGGTAGTGGAGACATGAGGGGGGCAGTGAATAAGGGTTGGGAGAAGAGGGATAAAGGAGGGGGGAAATGGAAGATGTCTGTAATACTATAAAATATATATATTAAAAAATAATTTAGCTTTATATTAAGCAAAAATATCTGTGAAAGCAGAAGCTTGATGCACTATTTACAGTTTTAGTAATATATAAAAATAAGTAACTATGAAAAAAACCGCTCATAAATATACTACCTACGCCATCTTGTGTACTGCTAGAGGCATATACATATCGAGAGGAATCCTGATTCGATTCAGTCCTCTCATTTATTAAATGAAGGAACTGAGACTCAGATAATCCCAATGACATCCAGGCATGTACCTAACAAAGCGGCAGGAGGACACGGAGAGCATGAGGGTCCCTGCTGGTCAGTCCAGAAGAGCCTCTCCCCACTGCCTCTCAGTTATGAAACTTTCTTTTCTAAAGTTAAATTTCCCGGAGACGTTTTCAGACAAGTATTAATCGACTTCCTTTTTGCTTTAATGGCAGAAGTTTTCTTAGTGCATCTGCAAGCCTGTTTCTACTCTCTCTTTGTGACATGCCAACATCCCCCAAAAGTAGTACGGTGGTCACCAGCAATATCTCACACATCCTTCCCTGCTCCCAAGCTAAAGGCGTGGGAGCTCTGACTTAAATTCTAATTGCTGCCAGCACAGTCTATGTCTTAGTTATTTAGTATAAAAACATAAATGAAATAAGTCAGTGAATGAAATAAGCTCTTCAAATGCTCTCTGATCAATGGTTTCTTATCGATGGCATTATTTTGACTTCCATTGTATAGCAAAAGAATGAAGGGATTTCCCCCTAAACAGCCAACAATGATGACACCTGGGGACATAAACACAAGACTACCTCCTCCCTTAGGCGTGCCTACCGCCACTCTAAGCTCGTTCACCACGGTGAGCCATGTCTTCGTGATATTTTGAATTAAATGCAAATCTGTTTCTAAAATAGATTTCAAAACCCCCTTCAAAAATGCGTTTATTCATACAAACTAGGAAGTGAAACCAACTTAGTGATAAATTTTAAACAAAACTGATATTCCGCAGTTCCTTGCTCATGGTCTTAGACCAGGTGAAAACACAAAAAGCCAACAACCAAGTAGAGGTGGTGAAGAGAAAACCACAGCTGTGGTGATTTGAAATTTTGAGGACAGGTTCTAAAGAGATTTTTTTAAAAATAATGCTACCAGGAGAGCAAACAGCAGTGCCTTCCCTCATCCCACCCAGCCCTCACTGACCTCAAGTCCCCAAGAATATTAGGTGATGGTCCCAAATTCGACTCATGGTGGAAGACGTAGTCTTTCCCACTCTCTCCCCTTTCTCTGCACACACAATCTTTAACCTTGCTTACATTCACTGGGACTTTCTCCCTTTCTCAGGTTCACGGACGCGCATAGTGTGTCAAAAGCTCTTCATAGAGCGGCCCTCACACAAGATACTAAATCCTAAAGCCAACATATATCAATTGAATCCACATTCTCTTTGTCATACATTATCATTCCAGAGATGGCTCCTAACACACCAACTTCTGGGTTTCCCCGCCACGACCCTTTTCCAGTCTCTCTTAAATCCGTGGCTTAGAGCAGGTGAAAACACAAGAAGCCAACACCATGTAGAAGTGGTGAAGAGACAACCACAGCTGTGGCGATGTGAAATTTTGAGGACAGGCTCATTTCACTTTGGGTGATAAAGAATATTTCTGTAGAGTGAATAAGTACCCCCTGACTTATTTCTCAGATAAGTTTGGGTTTCCATGCCTCTATTGCTAATAAAATATCATCCACCTGGCCTTGCAAAGAGTTGAGACAACAGCAACTGGCTTGCGATGCTTTCCCCAGACGGTTCGTACTTACCTTCATCCTAAACGTATTCTGACCTGAAGCATCCATGGCTGGGCAAGGCAAGGGAGCGGTGTTGGGAGCTGGCCTCTGGATGCAGGCTGATTTGTTTTAGACCCAGCTTAATACAGTTTAGTCTTTGGTCAGTGGACTGATGCTAATTTGTACTAGCTTGAAAACACTTCATTGGATAGTGGACTTGTGTGGTATAACCAAGGCAATTGTTTGTTCTCAGACCAAGCCCCAGCCTGGGTATGTATTTTATCTTTAGAAACCTCGCGTGGCTTGAATACCGTCATGCTAAGACATGACAAGCCGCCGGCTGAGGTCCCTGGGCAGCAGGCATGCTGTGTTTCGACATTTCTCTCCTCTCCTTGCCACGCTCGGTGGCTCACCTGCTGTGTCGCCCAGGCCGTGCCCAAGAACTTTCACCAGAAACAATTAGTTATCTTCAATCTCCCAGACTCTGCTCTGGACACCCTGAAATGGTGAGACGTCCAGGTGTTCACAAAGACACAGGTGAAAACATAGACACGATAAGTACATATTTGTAAGATGAAAGTAAGATCACACCAGGAAGCAACAAGTCACCATGTTAATCTCTTTGTACAACAGTCCTGGTTACATAAGAAAGTGAGATTTATAAGCAGCCTTTATTGTTGGATTTTTAAAAAATAAAATCTGGCCTTTATGAAAGATACTTTTCACAAATACTGTTGATTTACTTATTCAGAGAGTGAGAAGAATTATCCCTAGAGAAAGCAAAACTACAGGATAAATTCATCCTCTGACCAAAGCCATCATTCACACGGCAGACCCCCAATGTACATAGCACACATCCAACTTTGCTTAGACAGTAGCATTTAATCCAACCACAGACAAAGCCAATATGTATTTTTTTAAACTATTGGTTGATTCGAGATTGGCCCTGGTGTCTGGGTTATGTAACACCCACAGTTTTTAGGTTACTTTCTTTTGAAATCAGTAAATCTTAATAGCAAGCAAAGGGCTGTATATTAGCTAATATTTACCAAGGTATTCGGAGTGGCCTGGCAAAGCAAGTGAATGATTCAAGAATTCAGCATTAGCGTTCTGTAAATAGTCCACTCTCAGAAAATAAACTTTTTGTAAGCTTTTCAAATATTGGGTGTCTGCTCCTCATGTAGGATTTCAAAGACAAATAGAACTTGGTTCCTCTTCTCAAGGGGCTCACAGTTGAATGGGGACATGAGCTACGTAAATCGGCCGTTGCAACATGGTTGGTTTGTATAATGCCCAAAGGAACACCTTTCCTCAAAGACCTCTGTCAGATGGGTATCTATCCCCTGTGAAAACACATCAACTGAAAAAACACTCATTACCTTTATGTGTACATTCATGTATTTGTCTACTATTAGCCAACACTGATATTTGATACTGGAATGTATACCAGGTACCATGCGAGACACCAGGGAATCGTCCTGTGGAAGTTTCCAGTCCAGTGTGGGGGTAGGAGATGCAAATGAACTGGAAAAAACCAGTCTGTGTGATACCAACCAGAATAGAAAAAAGTGGGAGTGATTTGGGGGGCACCTCATCTGAGGGTGCTAAGGCCTGAAGATGGAGTTAGAGGCCATTTAGTAGGAACTCTATACATGCGTGTTGACTGAAGATAAATCAATTGATCAATGTGTGCATAAATGCAATGAGTTTGCTGTCACTTACGTGGCTTCCGACTGAGATATTTTAGGAGAGACATTCCTGTGCCTTCTTAATCAATATAACTGAGCAAACACTCTACTTATTGAACATCTACCATGTACCTGGTACTAGACTAGGAAACCAAGATGGTAACAGTGCCTGCTCTCGAGTTACTCCAGGTTAAGTACGTCAATAACGCAGTACAGCAGGTTTGCTGCCCTGAAAGGGTTGAGAACGGAGTTTTAAAAGCAGCCACCAAAGAAGAGACCCAACAGGCCAGGTGCCAAGCTGATATTCTTCAACACACCTTTGCCAGGAGCGCAAATGGGTGCCCCTGACTAGGAGCGACTTCCTGTTTTCCATGAAAACGGTCTCACGCTGCTGGGGGATGGCCACCCAGCTGGATTTGCAAACCCTCAGAGCCCCGAGGAGCCTCAGTCATCTAATCTCCCCCCCCCCCAGCTCCCGAGTTATCTTTTTAATATCTGGAACCTATGGTTGGCAGAAGGCGTCATGTCCCCTTTGCTCGGTAATTCCGAGAGAAGTTATTTCTGATGCCTTTTGCACTATCAGGCAGCTCACTTGGGGTCAACCTGGGTTCTTAAATAGAACTTGGCAAAGCCAGTGGAAACAATTTCTCCTGGCCTCAGGGGCATATAAAGGGGCATCTGAACCTCAGGACTCCGCCAGCCTAGATTGGGGAATGAATTTAGGAATAGCCCACCCTTGGCTTGAGGGTCTGCTCATGCCCTCTCCACCATAGAGCCCCAAGTCTGCTGTGTCCAGGGTGGGAATGCCATACAGGCCTTCCTGGGCACCTGGCTCCGTCTAGAGAAGCGAGCTTGGGAACAAGAGCCAGGGAATTGCAAGGTCTATGGTGTAGGTGCTCTCTCAGGGCTCTCTCCTAAGCTTCAGGAGTTCTACAGCAGACTGAGCCAGAGTTAGGATAAGAGAAGGCAAAAGTGAAGAGGTACAGCTTAAAATGAA